CTAATTATATTTTAGATTTTTTATATTTTAAAATGAGATGTTAATCTTCTATTTGATTATTTTTATCCATAGTTAGTTACACGAGTTTAAACAAGAAGATTTAATAAGTTAAATTGTACTTAATGTATAATTTACTTGTAATCTTGAACTTTAAGTAATATGCATCAATACAGTACTTTATGCATAAAAAATGGTTTTTAAGAGTTTTTATCAAATGCTTTATAATATAGTATAGATATGTAGGTATGATGAGAGAGTAAGGGACCTCCTGGACTTCAGTATTTACTTGGATATCAGTAACGAGGTTAAATTCTCCTGGAAAATTCAGGTATTCATGATCTTCATCATCCACTATATTTATATCTACACATATTATGCACGGGGAGGTTCACGAGAAAACCCCACAAAAATGAAAAACTGAGTAACATCCTGATAATGATAATCGTACATGTATGTGTGCATACAAGTAATGGAATCTATTTTTTGGTTTTTATGCACGTTTGCATGTTATGCACATCTACATACGAGACAAATTGCTTATAATTACTTGTATGCATATATGCATACCGTCCAGATGAACGATTACAACTGTCTTCTTCAGTTTTTCATTTTTTTGTGGTTTTATCTGCCTCTAACCCTATATACGCAAACAAATTTATATTTGACGAGAATGAATACATATACTTATAAGAACAATGTACTAACTGTTCTTATAAGTGTTGCAATCCCATATGTATTTAGTTCCATTTAGGTATTCCATGAACATCTGTAATACAAATATATGATCAACTAATAAAACGAAACTATAAATTATTAAAATCGTTATATAAAAGCTTCATCGATCGTTCTGCTTTCCAGGTGTTGATATTGTTGCCACTTGTCAACATGCTAACCCTTCTCGTAATTAGTCAACAAAACATGATCTACGAGCTTTGAAATTGGGGCAAAATCTGTTTTGCAACTCCCACCTGCATGCATTCTTTAGGAGGTAAGTAGTAGATAAGCTTCTTTTAATGCTTTTTATGGTCTATAAATAGAGCCTGCCAAGAAGTTGTTCCTATCGACAGAATCATGATTGCAAGTATAAACGTTCATGAGAAAATGAAATCAAAGGGGTTTGTGTTGTTGGCTTTTCTGTGTGCATTTGTTCTTATCGTTTCTGCTGTGGCAGCTGAATTATCTTCTGAAAATGATGAGAAAAGAAGTAAGTATTCGTTTGCAATTAACATGGTTTGAATGATTCTGGTGGGTTTCTTCTTATTATTGTTTATGTTTTTTCTAGGGGATTCGGCTAGCGAAGCACAAGAAGTAGGTGGTGGAGGCGGAGGTAAGGATGGTTGGGGTGGATATGGGTATGGAGGTGGAGGAAAGGGTGGCGGATGGGGTGGTGGTGGTTTTGGAGGATGGGGTGGTTCTGGAGGTGGAGGTAAAGGAGGATGGGGTGGTGGGCATGGAGGAGGCGGCAAGGGAGGATGGAGCGGTGGAGGTGGTGGTCATGGAGGAGGTGGCAAGGGAGGATGGGGCGGTGGAGGTGGTGGGCATGGAGGAGGTGGCAAGGGAGGATGGAGCGGTGGAGGTGGTGGGCATGGNGCGGTGGAGGTGGTGGGCATGGAGGAGGTGGCAAGGGAGGATGGAGCGGTGGAGGTGGTGGGCATGGTGGAGGTGGTGGGCATGGAGGTGGTGGGCATGGAGGTGACAAGGGAGGATGGGGTGGTGGAGGTGGTGGACATGGTGGAGGATGGGGTGGTGGTGGTGGCGGAACCGGAGAAGGTAACTGAAACTATAGCTAGTTTAAAGAATAAGGCCAGGGGCAAAGGGCCATGTGTATCATATGGAGATGGTTTCAACAATGCATTTGATTTAGTTCAATGCTCCGTATTTTGATGAATATATACATAAAGTTGAGTTATATAACCATTTATATTTGTACAACCAATACAACTCAATCTCAACCGTTCATTTAATTTAATGAATATGTGATTTCATAGAGGTTTTTTATTATTTCATAATATAAAATGTTAATCATAATTAATGAACTCTAATCATCTTTCATAAATATTCAGATCATAATAAATGAACTTTCGTCATTTCTATAAATATCTAAATTGATTGAGTTGCATTAATTGTACAAATGGACATGGTTGAATTTGAAATATACCATATATACATATGATTTTTATATAATTATATTGTAATAATATTAAACAAAAGTTTAGGTTCAAAGTTTTCTTCGGCAATGTAATCAATTTAAATACCAAATAAACATCATACAAGAAACCATATATATATAAATGTTACCGAAAAACTGTAACGCCTAAAAACCATGTAACGAAACGCTAGCTCCCTTTGTTTTTTGAGGGGTGGATATTCGAGTTATCAGTTGAGTGTATGGTTGATTGATTGACGTAAATTAGTTTTAGGTTGCCAAAAATTAAAAATGTTTGATGTAATGTATAAACTACATATATTAATAAGCTTGAGCGTCGTTTTGGATCGTATAAGCCAAGTTAGAGATGCACAAACGAAAACTGCATCAAGAACAATTAAGCGAGGACCAGATACAGATACAAATACATATATTTTAGGTTGTCCTGGTCCAAAAGGTCCGAACAAGTCCTACTTATTTCATAAGAGGACGGTTAAAAAACCCTTGGTCAAAAACCGAGGACTGATTTAAGGATAAAAATAAGTTATTTCAAAATTTTGGTCCCTTCCTATTCCACCAATAAGATAAATATATGTCAAGAGTTTATTAAATATAAATTTATTTAATATATATCTTTATTTTATATCAATTGAAGTACAATAATATGAAATGAGATTTGGGGTATAGATTTTAGGGTTAAATGCACGAAGTTGTCTACTTTCATAATTTTTTTTATTATAATATTCTGTTTTTGTTTTTTTTTTATTACAACAATATACTTTCAAATTATTTTTTATTAAGGCATTATATTTTAAAAAATATACCCACTATAACAATGGGTAACCTGTTACCTTTTAAACCGGTTAACCATTTGACTTTTTTTGCTTGTATGACTATAATGAGGTGATGTGGATAATACATCCTTTTGATGACATAATTAAAATAAAAATAAAAACATATTTCAAATTACTATTAGGAATTTTCATTTTTCATTGTTATGATTTAAAAGAACATTTGATTTTTTTTAATTTTTTTTATTAAGTTGCATGCAAATTAAATATTCTAGAGTAAAATAATTCTTAAATAAATATGCTACATTATTTTTGAGATATATTTTGTTTGTAAAAAAAGTAACACTTCTTATTTTATGTTGTTAAAAAAAATACATATCTTTAAAGAAA